TTTGTTTTGTCACACCCACCATATAGCCCTGACCTTGCGCCTTCGGATTACCATTTGTTTCGTTCCATGCAAAACTCTTTAAATGGTAAAATTTTTAACAACGCGGATGATGTCGGATCACACCTAATTCAGTTTTTTAATAGCAAAGACCAGACATTTTACGAACGGGGAATTTTTACTCTGCCAGAACGATGGAAAAAGGTCATCGACAAGAACGGCCAATATCTAACTGAATAAAGTTATATTTTTAAACAAAAATTCCGAATTTGCCTTCTTATTTGAAATTGACAATGACTTAGTTGCCAACCTAATATTTAGAATCTCACTGCATACTCGTCGTGGCACTTAGAGATTTGCTTTCGCATTAGGGTATGAGATGGGAAATCTGAAATGCCTCCTTATAACAGACTTTTAACAAACTCTTAGGCAAGGCAGTCAAATACTGATTGCTGGTAAAGATAGCTGCCTTCTTCGACATATTTGTCAAAAGTAGATCACGTTCCGGGGAGAAAAAAAGGAGGAGCTTGTGGGATAAAAATAAGTTAAGTGAAATTAGCTGAAGTCTAGTTTAAAGGCATGGTAATTCGCTAAAACACTTCTAAAAATTCAAAAATTTAGTTAAAAAGTATACCGTTTTAGCATGTTTGCATGATGCTCATTTCAGCGGAGCTCTATCGCTTCCCTAAAGTGCTTCTTATAAATTAGCCAAAACTGGTCCTTTAATCGCCATTAAGGCAGTAATCAAAATTGATTGTAGAATATACATTATACGCAGAAAATTATGCTTATTAGAGACCATGGATGAAATAATTTACAAAGTAATTCACTAATATCAATATCCCGGAAATCGTTTTATGAACAGCACTCATTCACTTTCACATCTTTGATCCACTTGAAAGAACATTTTACAGAGAGCTATTTTTAAGGGTAAGGTAAACTGGTAGAAACTTGAGAACCGGGGAACAACTCTGTCAAAACAAGGGAAGATATCTTGAGTGAAACTTCTGATAAAATCAGGCCATCAAGACTGTAAGTTAATTCGAAATCATGATTGACCATAGATTCATGTTTGACCTTGAAATTCTGCGTGTGTTATTTGGAGTGGGGTGTGCGATAGACCTACCTCCACGTGGTACATCCTGAACAACGTATACTCATACGGCAAAAAGGACTATAAACCGGCTGTTGACTTCTCACTTCAAATTACCATCACCCCACTGTGCCACATTCGACCCCTACACGGTACTCATCTTACCTTTTCTCTGCCTTTGTGTCTGTCTGTCACTTTCATATCTGTGAATCAATATTCTGTCCCTCCTCTCGAATTTTTGTCATTTTGTTGTTTCTCCTCCTCTCTGTGAAGCTCGAAGTCAACTAAAGGTCTAATTGCGATTATCAAAACTCATGTCATTTGAAATAAATAAATGTTATTTGGAGTTTAGAGGCAATAGAATCTAGCTAAAAGCGGCTCTAGTTAACTTGGAACTTAAAGTCAGACACATTTAAACTTTGTAAGACAGCAAAAAGGAAAGATTATTCGGGAGATAAGTTGTTTAAGAATAAAGAAGTAAAATAATGGTTTCTTAATTAATTTTTAGATTCAACTTTCTGTGATAATAAAAAGTGAACCAGATTACACTAAATTCACTCAGAATGGATCACCTGTAGCTTCACCACTGGGATCCCAAGGCGGTTCAGCAGACAATGGCTTAGACAAGCTCGGTGGTGATGGAAAAGTAGGGGATTACCAGGGCCCAGGTGGAAAATCAGGTAGACTGCAGTCAGGAATTTATCAAGATCATGATACAGGGAATTTCAAGCCTTCTTCTGATCCCATTTCACCACCATCTCAACCTGCATATTCATCAAATCAAATGAAAATTATCTCTGTTCTTGTCTCAATTGCTGGAATTTTCTGTGTCCTCCTGCTCTTCATTATCGCAGCTCTCAAATGTGGACTTTTAGACAGTAAGTTTTCACCATTTTGGCTCATATTACAGAAAAATTTATTTATTTATTTCAAATGGCAGGCGTTTTGATAGCTATCATTAGACCTTTAACTGACTTCGGGCTTCACCGAGGGAAGGAACATCAGTGTCGAGAGAGGGGACAGAAGAGTGTTTAACAGATGTAAAAGAGACAGACACGAAGGTAGCGAAAAAATAGAAAGGTGGGTACTGTGGACGTGGAGCCAACTGCCAGTTTATGGAGTTTTTTTGTCGTATGAGAATACATTGCCCTGGATGCACCGCGTGGAAGTAAGTCTATCGCTACCCTCCTGTTGACTTATTAAAAAGGGGCTACTTTCTTAATTAATCATGGAATATTTCGAGGTAATAAAATGTCGGCATTAAATTTCTTCCCTTTACCCAATTGTTGGTGTTTCATCTGTGAAATTGGAAGTTATAGTTGGATACTAAGAAGAGCCAAAATTGAATTTATTGACGATGGCAAGTAGGGGCAATAAAGGCAATTGCATTTCACTCTATTCCTTTCTTCATCTTGCAGGCTTTTATTAATTATAATTTATTTATTTATTTCAAATGGCAGGCGTTTTGATAGCTATCATTAGACCTTTAACTGACTTCGGGCTTCACAGAGTGGGGGAGAAACATCAAAGTAACAGAAAGTTGAGGGATGGGGAACAGAAGAGTGGTTCACAGATGTAAAAGAGACACAAAGGCAGAGAAAAGGTAAGATGAGTACTGTAGAAGTGGTGGAATATGACATACAGTGGGGCCATTGTAGTTTGAAGTCAGTAGTCAACTGCCGGCTAATAGACTTTTTTGTTGTATGAGTATACATTTTCCAGAGTGCATCACGTGGAGGTAAGTCTATCGCACACCTCTATTACAGAAAAATGAAATTGCTTATAATGAAGCAGTATTTTTTAACTTGAAAATGAAACTTAACAGAGATTGAATTAGATATTATCGTAGGATTATTTTCGCCATTAAGTCTGTTGTTCTTCATTCGAATTAAAAGCAGTCACAAGTTAACTTCCATTTATTTCACGTCTTATTAGCAGTAGTCAGTTTTCGTGTGAAGAAAATTGATACTAACTGCGCGCTATCTCTCTCTCCTGCCTTCCCTCTGAAGGCGGGTTTTCCCTGTTAGTGATGGTTTCTGAAACTTTAATTTCCTTGTATTTATGCACCAATTGATAATCTTGGCTAACTTCTTTGTCTCTATTTGTTCTATAGTTGAGTATCCTATTTTTGAAACACAAATTTGTAGTGGGAGTTGTTTGAACGTGAGGGAGATGCGCGTTCTACTATTATGCCTGTGATTGGTACAAAATTTTCTACCAGTTTTCGAAACGGGAAGTATGTGAATACCTGGACTACAAAATGAGTTCTTAAAGGTCGGAAAATGAGAAGGGTCAAGAAAAATTAAGAATCGAAGTTTGCACCTCATGCGTCTTACACCATCTTCATTCTAGATAGCTCCCCACATCGATGTATGTGAGGCACAGTTAGTATCTAACGTTCTGATGTTTGACTTCAGGTGCAGGAGCAATATTTATTTCCAAGTCATTTGCAACAAGTTTATTAAATTCCTTCTTTTATTTTACCGCAACTCCATTGTGATGCTCCAAAAATTATTGATCAATTTATATCGCCTTGGAAACAAGTAGGTTATTGATTATCTGCAATTATGTGGTGAAAGTTTGCAGACTAAAAGCATCTCTACGTTTTTGTAGTGAGGGATAAAACAAAGGTTATATTAAGGGAAGAAACTTTAACGTTTGTAGAATGGACCAAGCTGCTAAAATTACGCTTTAGGATGCACCATTACTTCTACCTATCGTCAAAGTCTATTTTTGGTCTAACGAAAATTTCTTATCCTCGCAAGTGGTCTAGACCATACGTGTCTGATATTATTACAACATTGCAAATATAACGAGGTTTATACTGACTTTGGCTTTTTCTTCATTGACAAACTCCATGACATCAAATCTTCTACATTTTGGCTTTTCATTTATTCTATGTATCCCTAATCTCCATGAGCACTGAATTAACTTATTCGTTAGGTAATTAACGTCAAATGATTCGTTGAATATATATCTGCAACCTTTAAATTTCAATTTCTACTAGTTGGAAGAAAATGGACTTTTGTACCACTTAATATTTATCCCCAGTATGAATGAATTTCAGCTGAGAAGAATTGAATATACAGGATTCAAGAAATCAAAATTGGAAATGCTTTTTGTCAAAAATAAGTCTCCTTTGTCATGATAATGTAATATTAAAGACATATTGTTTTGATATTTCTTGTCGTAAGTCAAAAAAGATGTTTGTCAAGGGTCTTTAATGTCAATGTTTGACATATGAACAAAATTATAAACCACTATCCACCAAATACGTTTTCACTAACGTCTAAAGCCTCTTAAAGCTACTATACTCTCACTACATATTCCTTAGCTTACTACTAGTATTTTCGCACAGTATAAATTCAATTTTATTTGTTTAAATAACTGATACCCACTCATTGTATATAATGAGCCCTATTTTATATGATATCGCTTCAAGAATGTGGTCTTGCTAGGATGTAAAAATAGGCATGCTTATTTTGCAGCCTTGTTCTTAACTGAGCTGGTTCAGGAAAGTCACGCTTGCCTGTATACGTTAACTTAATTAGTTTATAAACATTCATATTCTGGGAATATTTTATTGATCAGAGTTGGTAATATTTGAAGTTTAGCTTAAATCGTACAACACTGAAGTCATCAGGCAATTTAATAACGAATAAGCAAAATATTTTTAGTGCTAATCATTGTTACTAAATTATTATTATTATTATTTATCTTATTTTGCACCATCATAAATAAAATCTTAATTTATTTTATTGCCCCCTGAATAAATGATATCTACATCAGTAATAAACTCAGATTTATTTAAACCTCCAGAAATGCCTTTCTATTATAACTTTTAGTTATGATTTTGAAGTACTTCTGCGCGTTTTTTTCAGATTTCGCCTCCCCCAAGTCCCCGGAACCAAATAACCGAATTGTAGAAGGTGAAAGCTTGGTGGCTATTCCTCCAAAGCATGAAGTAACTTATAATTTAAATTTATTTTCGAGAATATCAGAATAAACTTGAAGCAAATTCACCGCTTATTTGGCAATTTTACGTAGGTTTTGGCGATTAGTCCTTCCGGACGAGGATGGAGTGATGACTACCGGACCCTGGGAGAGAACTATCCTGAAAGTGTCTTCTGTGTAAATCAAAAATTGTCAAACGACAGTGGAACTAAGAAGAGAATGGGCCGGGAAGGCAATTACGATATATCTGCTCCTTTCAGTACAACTATGATTTCCACGACGAACACCAGTTCTAATTATCCTAGTAATATTATTACTGGACCTCGTTTCATTGGATCCTATCAGAATATCCCGGCTTCCCCAAAGATGGCACCAGCATGCAAAGCAAATTTGAATAAACCCCTCATGGTATCCACCATTCGTCCTGCAGAACACATCAACCTTGAATTAACCAACCGTAAACCGACCGCCATCTTGGCTCCAGATGGTCGGCTAATTCCAATCGAAAACACCGAATTTTACGGATTTTCTGAAACATATCAAACACTTGATCCCTCTACTTTCTCAAAAAGTACCAAGAAGACTAAAGAGAGCTCTCGACCTTCCGAATCCACAAATGTCACTTTCAACCTTGAAATGATTCCAATGTCCCAGTCTAGCGACAACAGGGAAAATTGTGGTTTCAGTCGACTTCTCAAAAATGACATCATAAGTGACAAAGGAGAGGATAATGAACGCGAGGAGCAAAATAAGTCGATCGATGACGGCAGGCACGAGCTTTTAGTGTATGGGAAGTCTGGTAATCACTCAAGTTTTGTGTAGACTCTGAGTCAATCTTAATTACTCCTAACCTCCCCTCTCCTCCCCCCCCCCTGAAACTCTTCCCATTGTTGTACAAAGTGAAACAGCCTGCATTTATGAAAAATCTGAACGTACTTTTTTCTTGGCATTTGTCTTTTTTTATACAACAATATATGCTCTAGCTTCTAGTTATTATTTTATTATAATGAACATTGGAGTTAGCGTCATTCTTAAGGTCAAACTAGTTTCAAAAATTCGTAATTGGTAATTTTATTTTTGAGTCATTGTAATATAACATGTACAAAAAAATTGCTAATCATCATTTCAATGTAGATAGGATTCTGCCGATTCTCGTGATTATCGAAACCTACTCAATTCCAAGTTGATGAGGGCGACTAAAGTTTCAAAATTCTATTTTGTTGGCAACACCATCTGCTATTATTTACCAACTGCCCACGAATAGTAGATACCGTGACGATTGTGGTAAAAAAATTTTGAGCCCTATCCAAATGATAAAATCGCTTTGTGGTAAGATGAGTATGATTGGCCTTCCATTATTGAAGTTGGCACAGAAAACTATGATATGTTCCCTATGGCGTCTTCAGTATCGTTCACTATTAGTTCGCATTAAATTCCAAAATTTAAACATTTCAATATCTTTATTTATTTATATCAAATTGCAGGCGTTTAAATGGTTATCATTAGCCCTTTAGTTGACTTCAGGCTTCACAGAGGGAAAGGAACATCAAAGTGAAAAAAAGTCGAGAGGGGGGGGGGGGGAACAGAAGAGTGTTTCAAAGATGTAAAAGAGACAGACACAAAGATAGATAAAGGTGAGGTAAGTACTGTGGAAGTGGTGGAAAATGACATACATTTGGGTCATAGTAGTTTGAAGTCAGAAGTCAACTGTCGGTTAATAGACTTTTTGCCATATGAGTATACGTTGCCCACGGTGCACCACGTGGAGGTAAGTCTATCGTACACCCCACATTTCATTATATTAATTCTTACATTTCTATGGTTGGTTAACCACTTCGGCTAATTAAATTTTCTCACTTTGTACAGCTTCTGTTATTTCCGAGAAGGTACTACAGCATACTCATTTCAATTAATTGGCCTCACTGGGATTTATACGATGGCATCCATTATTCATGCGCCTAAAGCTGGACATTAAGTAGCATAAACTCACCTCCCAAGTAGCACAAAAATGATAGCATCGATATTTAAAAATAATTTATAAATTTTTAATTGAAATTAAATTGCTTGATCTGCGAAGGAAAGACAAGTCGATAATTTGTTTTTTATTTACTTTAATTTTAACAACACAATTGATTTGCTATGGGTTTTAGTAGTATTACTCTCATATTCTCTTTCGTGGCAATTTTAATAAACTAACTTGAGATACTCGACTTAATTATTTGACTAAAGGTGAACATGATCGAACAGGATAAATTGAGCTAAAAGACAATCTGTTGGGTTAAATGAGAAATTAGGAGAAAATTTTACTATTATCCACCAAGGATCGTAAAATTCCGCTCCACACACAATGAAAGGAAAATGGTACATTAATGTTTGGCTTAACATCTCGCTGAACAGAAAATCAATAATTTGACAAAAAAATGCTGCCGAATGAACAGTACGCTAAACAAAACAATAGAGAATGTTACGTGCATTCAACCAATATGCAAACGTTTATTTATTTATTTATTTTAAATGGCGGGCTTTATGACACTTATTATTAGACCCTTAGCTGACTTCGGGCTTCACAGAGGTGAGGAATATCAAAGTGAGAAAAAGTGGAGAGGGGGGACAGAAGAGTTGTTGAAAGATGTTAAAGAGGCAGATAGACAGACACAAAGGCAGAGAAAAGGTAAGATTAGTACGGTGGAAGTGGGGTCATGGCAATTTGAAGTCAGAAGTCAACTGCCGGTTAATAGACTTTTTTGTCGTATGAGAATACGTTTCCCGGGGTGCACCACGTGGAGGTAAGTCTATCGCACCCCATTTTTTTGTTTTTTGTTGTTTGCAAAAGTAGATAGATTAGTAGCCAGAAATGTTCTTCATTTGTAATCCACTTATGGTAATTAAAATTAATATCCAATTGCGCTCTCTAAGATCATCATTTCTTCCACTTACTGCTCAACCGATTACTTGAATTCAGTAAATAAACTAAGCAACGAAATGGGCTTAACTACAGAATTCATTTTTTTAGTTTCAAAAATCCTGTTTTATGTTTTGAACTGCAGCAGGTTTCCACTCTGCAAGTTGAACAAAAAAGCCTACTGTTAGTAGAAAGAATTTACGTAAATGAGAAAAAGCGATAGTCAAGGTTAGTTTTAGAAGGTGTTTAGTCAAAATCTCCCACTCCTGCTCATAACAAGTGAATGGGTTTGTGCTGGAGAATTCTGCCTCTTTCCATTCCCCACCCACCTAGAGCTGCGCACCGCAGCATTCTCCACCACTTCTTTTTTTCCAAATTGCACCCAAGTTGGTGTGGGTAAGTGAGTGAGTAGGTAGAGACTTGTTGGGGGTGCTAATCTAACAGACTCGTTGATTGGCTGTCATGGACTATATCTTTTTATAGTTAACTAAACTAATGGCGCCGCTGACGCTAGTCGATTCTGAACAAACCGTTATGCGAAGCTTGACTTTACTCCTTCTCCATTTTAAGTCACAGACTAGCTTCTGCCAATTCCACCATACTAATTTAGATGCATGGGGTGCGCGATAGACTTACCTTCACGTGGTGCACTCTGGGCACCGTTTCCTCATACGACAAAAAAAGTCAATTAACCGGCAGTTGGCTTCTGACTTCAAACTACCATCACCCCACTGTATGTCATATTTCTCACTTCAAACTACCATCACCCCACTGTATGTCATATACCTCTGACTTCAAACTACCATCACCCCACTGTATGTCATATTTCACCACTTTCACAGTACTCATCTCACCTTTTCCCTACCTTTGTGTCCGTTTCTTTTACATCTGTGAGTCACTTATCTGTTCCCCATCTCGACTTTTTGTGATTTTGAAGCCTGAAGCCAACTAAATGGTTAATATTAACTATCATAAAGGCTGCCTTTCGATGTAATTAAATAAAGTCCAGTTACATTAAAATGGACAAATAATTAAGGAAACTTCCCCCTGTTTAGATACTTCTAATATTTTTACTGAAGCAACATTCACGTTGTTCAGAGTGCATTATACAGCACACCACAGTGAGTTATTGCCAATAATTAACGAAGACGAATGTGAATAACCTATTTCATTTTTTGAAGTGGGAATCTTCTATTACGTGATAACACTAGTTCTAGTTGTGTCAATAAAATGTATCTGCCTCTTATGATTGAACCATATACAGATATTGCATTAATTAAGCAAAGGTTTCATTTAGGAATAAAGCTTTTAGTAAGGACGCTAGGGGAGGACTTGATTAACCCTGGAGCAAACATAAGAAATCCATGTCTGTGCTTTGCTTTGTAGGCCTCACAACGTATTTGAGCAAGTTATGACATCTTAAGTCACACAGACACAGCTAGTGGGAAAAATTGGTGTGGATGAACTGTCAGAGTCAGATTATGCGAGATGTTGAAGGCGTTGCATACTATAAATGGATGCCCTTTTTATTGTCTTTACAATAAGGGGAAGCATTGTCTCAAATCAAATGCCTTTGTGCGTTTAGAATGCGCAAAAGTACACATTTGTTCTCGCCATGCAAGTACAGTATTCATTCGTTAAGTGACCTTCAAATGCAGTAAAGGTACTTATAATTGTATGTAATTTAATTACATGCTGCTAATTTATTTATTGGGAGAAAATGAAAGTTCTCATTCTTTTCGAGGACATCTGAGGTAGTTTTTAAAAGAATACTATATTCACCCCTTTGCATGAGAAATAAGGAGTCAGGCTTACTTTAATGAATGGGAATGACAATGAGATTGAAGGAGCCAATAGAAGTGCGAACCGATTTTGTTACTATGGTTTTAAGTGATTTAAGTTTTAATCTTGCTCTTAAAGTAGATTTTTTTGCAGTAAAATTAGATTTTATTTTTTTCGTCATTTTTTTATTTAGTATTCTGAAGAGTCATTAAATTTACGAGTCTTTTACATTAACCACCCCAAGTTGCCTTTAATTATTCTTTGATTAAGGTACCAAAGACTGTCTCTAATTAAAACTCTCTTTGGGTAATTATAAGTCTCACTGTAAATTTACAGATTGTGGTAATATCTTAAATTATTCATATAACCAGTCTAATTAATGGATTTGCTTCTATTTTTCCCTTAAGCGATGAATAGCCTTTTCATCCTATTCTACTTTATCCGGTTAAGGGGAATATCATATCGATTTAAAAAGTTTATCTTACTCGTAAATTAATAGTAGTATCATTGATAAATATACGTGAAGCCCAGTTAGCAAAGGTACCTAGTTTTTAAATCATACGTTAAGGGGCTTTTGAAAACAAGTCCCGAATCACAATGCTTTATTTGAAGAGTGAAATCTGCAAATGCTGATAAAATTATATGAAGTACAATAACAAAACAGGGAGAACTTTTGAGTATTTTATAGCAGGACTAATCTTCTTAGGTTGATTTTTCGACTCTAACTGAGTGATTGTATAGCCCTTCTGCCATCAAATAAAGAGCGAGGGAATTGCACACCCCAGAGGCCTAGAAAAGAAATTAGAAATAGTTACAAGCATTCCTACTTGCATTTGTAAAGTAGTAATATTTTTAAATTATAATGAACGTACTGGAAACAGGTCACTCACCTTTTTCGTCTTTGCCCGTTTATTCTGGAACCATATTTTAACTTGCGACTCTTTCAAATTCAACTCTCGAGCTAGATGCTGTCGTCGAGCTTCATTTAAATATCTATTCAAGGAAGATTATGGATTTTTTAAGCTTTCTATAAAGTGGAAAGAGATAATGAATTACTTACTTGTCCATTTCGAATTCGGCAGCCAGCCTGTTTATTTGAGAGACAGTAAAGGAAGTTCGAGGTCTTTTGTCACTCAGAGAAGCGTTAGGTTTTCTTCTTATTTTTCGCATTCGCGGTCCTATTAGTGAAAAATCTCATATACCTTAAGCTTTATTGGTGTTCCTGTATTGGTAAGAGAATATTACAGTCGAAATGAATTGCCAAAATAAATGTAATGATTATTTACTCTTCTTTCAAATAAATATTTCGACTAAATATTCCTCACTTACGATCAATAAACTGTGAAATCGGGAAATATAATGTAAAAATCACGGCAAGGAAGAATGCTTTGTTATGCTCTTATCATAGTTCTTTAATGGATAATTCTCTATCTGAAGTAAACTACTGAACTCCTATTTTTACTTTATTCATTTGTCAGGGGATGATGTTTCAACTGCTCTCCTTCAGGTAAATAAATAAATTAAAATAGTCGTCTCTACTGACTGTGTTCCAATTGGACCCCTTTGTCACAACTTTAATTCCACATTTTATTCAAGTTTGAACCTGCATCTCAACTTTTTTCTTATTCCTTGAGATAAATGAAATATACTCTTGATCTTCAACCTATCCCGCCTTTTTGTAGTCAACTTCATTAGTTTTGTAAGGAGACATCTCTGGGCTCAAAAGGTAGAATTTAGTGCTACTTTAATTAATATATGCTTTATATACATAAACGAACCGGGAAAAGCTTTATTTGTAAGTCATACTTAACCACGAATTGAATCAAATAATAGTATCAATTGTTTCTAAGTCTATTATACTTTTAAAAGTAAATTAAATTGATACTATTTGGTTAAATTTGTAACTTATTCTCATCTCCATCAACAGCAGAATTTGAACAAATACGGTAGAATTAAAATGAGTGTGTTTCTCCCAAGAAAATGAAATTAGTAATTCACTGCTATTTATTCGTAAAATTTTCATTTTTAAATTTTTTTTCAAATTACAGGTGTTTTGCTGTGAATAATTCAGTTGTAAAGGTAACCATTTTCGTAACCCCATTTAGTATTGAGTTCTGTTATTTTGAGTCAAATCGGAAGCAAATTAGGTTACAACAAATAGTCACAATAGTATAAAGCGCCTTAGGTCGATAAAATGCGCAGAATGGATGTCTCCTCATAATTTATCACTAGAGAGTTGCCATTTAGCATTTTACGTGACTTATGGTAGGGAAGACATTATATAAACTATTCCGGGGTGTGCGATAGACTTACCTCCACGTGGTGAACCATGGGCAACGTACACCCATACGGCAAAAAAGTGTATTATTCGGCAGTTGACTTCAAACTACCATGACCCCACTGTATGTCATATTCCACCACTTCAACAGTACTCACCTTACCTTTTCAACCTTTGTGTCTATTTCTTTTACATCTTTGAAACACTCTTCTGTTCCCCTTCCCTCTCGACATTTCTTCACTTTGATGTTCCTTGCCCCTCTGTGAAGCCTGAAGTCAACTAAAGGGCTAGTGATAACTATAAAAACGCCTGCCATTTGATATAAATAAATAAAATAAATATAAACCATACCGCACATATGGATAGTAAATAGATTGTTCAAGAATACATAATTGGTACCACAAACAAATTAAGTACTGAACTAGCAACATTTTTAACTGCTAGTTCTTAGTTTAAGATCAAAATCGAGTAAACCACATTGTCAGTGGAAAGAAAAATATATTGAAACAGACATACTAACAGTCCAAGTTAAGCAACATACCGGGGAATCTAAGAGTAGTATTATGAAATTTGAAATTGACAATATTATAGCATGAAACATCTGTTTAAGACCGTTTAGCTAAACGGCATACATTTGGAGTCCATACATCAAATGATACAAAAGCCTTTTGATACGCTGGCTTTATACTCAATTTCTTCTTCATCTTTCCCTTTTAAATTCAGCGGTGACAATTCTGCATTGGCACTGATTTCAATATAGCAGCATTTTGGTTCCTAGCCCACACTTCCCTATCATGAAATCTCAGTTGTATAGATACGTGGAAAACGTTTACATGAAATTATCCCTAAATAATTGAACGAGTAAGAATGTTTAAAAAATCTGGCCTTTATTTATTTTAAAATCAATAATTTGAATCAATGATGTCTTAATGGGTCCGTAACTCGAGCTATATTATTCAGATGAAGCAGGTAGCTTAATAGATATTTTGGTTCTCTGTTTCTATTACAAACTACGCGTTCATCACCCTAATTAACTTCATCCTATTCGAACAAGGATGGATATCTATTTTTTATTTAAAAGCGCCACCCACGACTAGTACAAATTGCTCTGTATTTAAATGAATGCACCTGGCTACTAGGACTATTTCCTTTTAACCTGAAAAACTTCTCTGACGCGCGTAGTTAAAGGCAACGTAAAAGAAAAGGAGGCGTAGAAAGCACCCACCACAGTTTCAGGCTTCGTTGTCACTGCCCTTTATGAAAAAAATAAGGAAAATTAGCTTTTCCTTCCCTCTCTGTGAGGAAATTAGTTAAGGTGAAAATTTGTCTTTCTTCTGTAATGCTTGAGTTTATGAAAAAGCTCTCTCCATCACTTTGCTAAAAGGATATTTGCTCCAAGTTATTCCGCCAATATGAGTTTGACGCTAATTTTCAACTAAATATAAGCTGTTTTATATATTGTTTGTTCAATTAGATAGTAATAATTAACTTAAGTAATCGGTGAATTATATACTACTGTAAGCAATAAGTACCAGGATCTTTCCTAATTTCTCTTATTAGTTCTCTAAATTAACGAACTGAAATTAATAAAAATCAATATTAATGATTCATCTCTAATTACGAAACTTCATTAACAAGGTTTATAATGTGTTTGTGAAGAATCAATAATTCAATTCATTGGACAACCACAATTTGGCTTTATTTCATCTTTTGTCTCTGTTCAGTTAAATGAATTCTGACTATTTTGACACATTCATTTCGTGCCCGAGGGTGGCCTGACTGACAGGTCTGCAGGCGAATGACATTTTCTAGTGCCAGATAATTGGCGGTGTCAAAAAATTGTTGCAATACATGGCTTCCTAAATGACCTGTCTTGTTGTTCTGTCGCCAAAATGAAATCTAAATATAAAGTCACCTTTTATGACCTTACGACCACCGACTCGCGCTGTTATATTCTATCACATTAACAAAAAATATTGAATTTCCAAATGTTTTTTAGCGATTTAATTTGTTGAATAATTTTGGTTTTCTTTGAAATGACTATGAAAACTAAGCAAGCAAATAATGAAACCATTGAATAAATCACAAGGGAAATGACCAGTAGTGCAATGAAGTTATTATTTATAAGTAGTACCTAATTCTTCTACTAGATTCGCTTGATAATGTTATTTAGGCATTAATTAGAACGCTAATATTTTAACTTACAAATTACTGTAATTAAAAAATCGATAATAACCAATTTAGCAACACTAACTTCATATACCAGTGCGATCAGCTGAGCGCCGGTTGTTGAAGCCAAAATTTTGCGATAACAGCTAACTAGAATTGAGAAATGGAAAATTCCTTGACATACAGCCCGCGATCACCAGGACCAGAGCAAGAGGTCAGGATATTCAAAGAAATCCACGATCACTATGGAAAGCACGTTCTGCAGAACGTGAGACGTTGGGAATGGGCTGTGATTCACGAGGCTGTGACACGAGAACAACTCTTTTTCCTACACAGCTGTGTAAGACATGACGTCTTTCCAAAAAGCGTTCATTATAAGCCTCCAATTCCCACTGACCGAGCCAAGGATCTAGCCTATAAACTTTCTGTCCAGATGCGGAAAGAACTTATAACTGATGCTCATCATCGACTGGAGAAGTATGCATTTGAGATCAGCAAATGGAGAACAATTTGCGAAGCTCAAATGGAATCAAGTTGGATTGAACGTGTTAATACGGCTATTCATTACACAGCAGATGCCAAACGACAGGTTAAGAGGGATTACCTTAATCAGAAATTGCAAAGACTGCGAAGTCCCCGAAAAGAAAATCAGGAGAACTTAATAGAGAAGCTCTCTCAATTGACAATCTCAAGAAATCGACGTGTATTTAGAGAATCCACTCATCTTAACTGCAGTCTCGGGTCATCTTTTACTGATTACAATGATGAAAAGTTGGATTTCCCGAGTTTTAATGCCGCTTTTGGGTTTGAGTTTCATGACTCTGGCTTATATGATGACTACATATAGTTTCACTATGTTTATTTTTACAAGTATTATTGCATTTCTAACCCTTTCAAATTTTTGTTAAAGAAGAAAAGCTTTATCCTACGCTGTTGTAAATTGGTTTTTATACTAGTTTAATAAAGAATTTCCTTCTCATCTTTTTGCTTTGAAGACCAATTACCATTGCATATACACTGTTTACCAATGCATCTAATTAACTCAGTTCAGTTAAATTCAAGTACGAAATTTCCACTTTCATTTCTAGAGTGATTATTTCACTTTCTTTCGTTTTAAGAAAACGAACCTAAATAATGAAATTTGGTTAGACATTTGTATGATTTAAACGTTTCCCATTACTGGCTATATTCACTATCCATGGGATTTTCCTGCATTCGTTTTATTATGGAAAAAAGATAATCTGAAGACATTCAGGTTTGGAAACCTACAATCAACCACTTATCCGTTAATCAATAAGCATGGACGTAATTGTCATAAGGGACAACAAATATTAGGAATATCAGAAGGAAATGGCCCAGTCTTCCAAGAGATGTTTAAATTAATTATTTTTTTTATAGACACAGTGAAGGAAACAACTCGGTAAGTTTTTTATTGTGGGCAAGTTGGTAAACGTTATTTTTAGTGGTTTTCGTTCAATAGTGCAACGCCACTTCTAAAATCGTGACTGAAATTCATGGTCAAGTGCTCACAGTAGGTCCATGTCAGTTGTGCTTATAAACGTTTAAACAAGGCAGTAGAAATTTAAACGATGTGCCAAAATCAGGACCACCTATAAATTGCGTTGATAATGTAGATGACGATGTATTAAAATCGCCGGTTGAACCTGATCTTTAATGGAATATGAAAGAATAATGTTAGAAATTTGCATATCCATGATCAGCTGAATAATTACTTTCGATTTTACTGGTAACTCGAATAGGATGAGAATTTGGTTGCTGATAAATACCGTTTTTAAAATATTTGACTTCATGCTGTACCTCTAATAATTTGTCATATTGGTGTCCTTTATACTTAGCACCTTGAATTCACCACCTCAAACTTCCTTGAAGCAACGGAAGTGACTGATTGATAATTTTACTAGTTAAAATAAGTGTAGCTTACATTCCAGGGATTCTAGAGAGTTTCAACTCTGAAAGGGGCATGATGGCTATTTTCTCATCTACGAAGTCTGAGATCACGGACTCCATGCTTACCAAGTCGCACCCGATAAGTAAAACGACAAATCATACAGATGGTGCAGTGTAAGTTGGGCTTCTCTCTTGTTAAATCTCCATTGGAGATGGGAAATGACTTTCTAAATAGACTTGGCATATATTTTTCAATGTAGCAACAATTTGATTTTTGTGTACGAGAGAAAAAAAATGTTAAATAAAAGACAAAAACACTTTAATAATGGGTTTCAAATCCAAACAAGGAGCAAATTTTGGTGATCACTGCCAATAAATTTGCTTTAGTTCTTAACGTCCTGCCATTTGCTATTAGAAAACGACTCCTAACGTTTTAACTTCAGGATATTAGAATTCAGGAAAGTAATTCAAATTTGTTAAGACAAAGCCTGAATCCGAAAAATAAGCGATACTCCCCGCTGATAAAAGAAGAACTGACCTAGTTGCAAAGCAAGGCATCAATGACACTCATCAGTTCTTTAAATCCAAAGATGTGAATGTCACCTCCTGAAGGAGCTTGATTCGGACGTTTGTTTCTACTCATGTCATTCGAATTCAGACTGACTTTTGAAACGGGTTTACAATAATGGGGGGGGGGGAGGACAAATACAAATCTCCGCAGTATCTCCTTCTTCCATTCAGGTTCTTCTATAACCGAGCTTCGAATTAACGGAACACTCAAAGATTTTCAAGCCAGTTAGACCATTATGTTGAAAGTGTTAGTTTCTGATCTAGATCTCTTAATTTCTCAACCCGCTTATCTTTCCCCTGATACAACTTTCAAATGTGGAAAATCAATTTTATTGTCAACCTCTACTAGCCCTTCAACTTTTCTCCTATTGGATTTTGTTTAAAAAATGAAAGGGTAATCCATCGGTGATCATTATCTGGGTATCAATTTATACTTACCCGATGAGGGTCGATCGGAGTATCGGGTGCAGAATATCCAGGCGGGAAGTGGAAGATTGAGCGGTTTATTTTTTTCTGACCACGAAAATGTGTCTTTAGTTGAGGTAGAACTGTTTGACTCCTCATCCTCGTATCGTTCAATATCTTTCAAAATATCAGCAATAAAGAAGCCCGTTGAGCCCATTTTCGTGCAAAATTGGCTGCAATCAGCAGCTTAACTACCAACTGAACTGAAGATGGTGCGTGGTGGGTGAGATGACGTGCGCGCGCCAATCGCAGAGCACGCGCACTAATTTGCCGCCTCCAATCGTAACAACCGAAAGGGGGGAATGTGTAAAACGCACTAAAACGTCACGGCTGACATGGCCAACCAACTTACCTACCACAAAGGCTCCTTCATTATGAAATGTAAAAGGTGATTTTAAAGTTCGACTCGTCATCTATAATGCGTATATGTTTGTTAACATCAGTGTATATAGAATTTAGGAGTAACGATTTCATAATAAAATGGATCAAATGGAAACTATTGATACGAATTAGATTTATGTATAAATTTGCAAATAGTTCTTTTTGAGGAGTGAATTGACGGCAACATTTGACTTAAGTAACTTTATATATTATTCACTTCGAAGTAAAAATATTACAGTCCTTTCTGACCCTAAAATATTTGCAAAAATATTTAAATTAACAGATACCTTCTTGCAGAGGAGTCGGTCATTAGAGGTATTAGGAAACTAACCATTTAAAATCACTACTAATGGTAACAATAATAATTTCATCGGGAATCTTTCTCACAATTCAACAAAACGTTGTGGAACTCTGTGGTGTAGGATGTTGGTGGTTTTTTCAACTAACTCTTACAACATTACGGTAAGGGAAACAAACGTATCAAACTAGATTTGGCCAACCAACCATACATGAATCTTGAAACCTTTTTAGGTTTTTATCTAGGTTTAATGCCTTTATGACTTCTATTTAACACTTTTCTAACCATTAGTCGCCTCTTTTATCAGCCTCAATTAATCTGACCCCAAGAAGGAAGAAAACCGGTGACTTAAATGTCGCTTCACCAATGGGATAATTTTACTTAAATTTGATTAGATAAGTAATCGATAATTGGCTGCCAACTTACCAAATAATTTCAACCGTGAGTTCTTTATTGATGGACTAACTCATTCATATGTGACGGTAAAAATCCAAAAATCGATGGTCCAGTGTACAGGAGTGTGCGTAATTATTCCACGGGTCTTTTAAAACCATAATTTTAAATTTCCTTAAATTTAGAACACAAACAACTTGTCATTGATTTGCAGTAAGTTATGATTTAATTTTTTATTTTAATACATTTAAATTCAAAATAAACAAAGGACGTCGATAAAGTGGGCCATTTAAGATAATATTCACATCGCATATCCTTTTCTAATGGGAATAAATTAAAATTAGTTAGCTTGAATTACTGGATGTTATTACAGAAAGGAAAAATCTCTACTTTGAATAACAAACCCATAAAAATAGTAATTTAGGTAACTATATTGTGACATCTGGCTCAACGAAAGTTACAGCTTTTCCAACGGATGCCGACTAAGTCAATTTTTTGCTTTTTAAATCCTAAAATGTTTTCCACAGACTAAATGGCATGGAATGCGACTAAATCCATTGTGAAAAGACGATTAGTGAAACAATAATGTGCTCAAAATTCTTAGCATTTGATTTCAACAAAGCGTAATGAATGCTTGTGAGTTAAGGAGTCTTCTCTTAAGAAGCGAATATCAACTTCCCTACTCGATTAATTTTAATCAGCCTTAAGACCAGTGGTAATTTAAATATTGCTTTGGCAATTGTTCTCTTAAACTTTGACTAGACATGTTCTCAAGATGCATACTTGCACAACGCTCCATTGAGTCTGCCTCGGGGGGGGGGGGGGGGGTAAAAATTTGTAAATATTTTAAGAATTCAATAACAGAACACTGAAAACATTTGCTGTGAATTGGGCACAGTTTGGTGTTGTCGTAACGCTGATTCCTTGTGCTGCTGTTTTGACAAAGTTGACTCGGATAAGAGAAGACAGAATATTGAGACGCTGTGTCGGAAAGACGTTTAATAATGACATTTGACCCCTATTTATACTTCAGAAATTTGTTGCGATTGTCAAAATACTTAATGTCAACGAATACCTGATGTGGACAAACAGGACTGGTCATGCTATGGATAAAAAATTGAATGGTTGTTGAATTAACCCTTACGTAACTTGCTATTGCAATGGCTTGAGAGGGGCCTGGCGATGGTTTCGACCAATAGGTACACTTCGTTGTTCAATCAAACATAAATACTCCCTCTGTTATAAAGCGCGGTCAATCCTTTGGTATAGCACATTCTAACTATGCTCTGATTCCAAAGGAGGGGAGGAAGTGAGAAGGAAAAAATAGGCGTTAAACCAAAGAAATCTAGTTATTTGTTGACTAAATTTTGGAAATTATTTATACCCACGGAATTCGACTTTCCAGAATGTGGCCGACGGGCGAAGAATTGACCCATTCTTTGAATTTCAAGTCTTAAGGGCAAAATTTGATTGGCCGGACAATAAGTCAGTCAACGAATGACGATTGATTTTGTCATGCCATTCTATGGTTAAGACATTGTTGTTGTCGCTGAAGCATTGATTTTATACTTTCAATGAATGGAAAGGTATTATTTCGCCGTTCTACCATTTACAGTAATCAGGTACCTTTAACCTTACTTTGGCTTTAAGATTCTTCACATTATCTTGATTCGCGAAATTATCTATAATGAATTAATTTTCATATTGGAAATGGTTCGTATGAACCAATTAAAATATCATAAATGAAGAACATTTTTTGCTTATAGATATTTGTGAATTGTGAAATGAAAGAGAAGGGAGTTGCTTTTACATGACGGCCACTCTTGGAACTTACATTAGAAAAGGCAGCTCCACTCTTTTGATATGAACAATTTTTTTGGAATATTTTTATCACGAAAAAACAAAGAAAAATAAATTCACGTGTATTATTCAGCTTGGAATCTATGGCCATTTGAAAGACTTCTAAGAGGCGAGTAGCAAAATGGCATTTTATGGAATGTTCTGCAACATCGATGCCAAAAGTTTCCCAAGTCTCTCACTCAGGGGGTACCGCAATTTGCTGAAATGCTTAAGGATCTAGCGACAAAAGCAGAAGATCTCTGTGGCTAAAGCACAGCGTTTTCTTGAGATACTTCAAGTGAAATCAAAACTTATGTTGAATTATTAACCAGTTTTCCGTCCTAAGTGATAAGTTCCACTGACACCATCTTCTCTGGCGTACGAAAAAGTTGAAAGCCTGGAACAAGTAGGTATCGCTGTTATTCGGAAAACAAATGGTACAAACGGGCTGTGGGCCGACTTGGTCTATCGATCTGTCACATTGGAGTCAAATGGTTATCCACTACCAGTTGATGATGATATCTTGATACTTCATGATGGTAAATGATTCGAAAGGTTGCAAATCTAAGTTGCACCGGACATTCACTCCGTCTCAAGGTAACACCTGTGATTTTTCGGCAATTAATGGCTACCATGATATCTTACCTCTCTTGACCTAGACGACGCAATCATTGCACACCGCTCCTAAAGGGTACAGTAAGGTAGTAGCATAGTACTTCTTCAGCATATCTATGAGTATGCCCTTCATCTTCAAGTTGATCAATGAAGAATTCTTTTTGCCTCTATAAAGTGCATTATTGACGCAAATGGCCATCGTCCGGATTAAGAAATAATACTGACAATTACGGAGCATTAGCACATTGCGCTTCCTTCTAAGTCCAATGGACTAAAAAAATCATTTTTGTTAACTTCACATCGAATATGAGTTCCTCTAACCGAGTTTCTGAATGAAATTGGGCTCTCAAAAATGAAAATAATTTCACGAAGTTAAAGGAAATACTCTCTCTCTCTCTTCTGACTTCCTGCTTTTCAATACGATCCAAATAAGCTGGAGATGCTTCGAACTATGGTGCAGTTGCCATGCTTCTTGTACTACACCAGACTGGAAAGGATGGTTTAAATACCAATTAGGCTGCTAAAATCTTCATAACTTCTGTATTGGGTACTTTACACTTCAATGGGACCTTAAAAACTTATCTGTCCTCAGATCCAAAAGGGCGTATTCTAGTTCGCACAGAAAGTTGACTCTGACGTTGATAGCACTTCTATCATGGCCATGATTTGGAGGGGGGGGGGGGGGGGGAGAGTACCGGAACACAGCGGTGTTTGGACAAGTTTATTGTCTGTCTCGTTTCATTTATTACCGGAAATGGCCTGATGAGGTAGCTGTCATAACTGTGAAGCACGATGCGCAACGCCTCTTGATAGATGCTGCACGTAAACTCCTGGACCTTGTAGCCGATAGCGATACCAATTTCCTACTTCTACAAAGGCCCTTTTTTGGGAGGGCATGGCTCAAATCTGAGAGAAGTCATTCTTTCACGCATGACCATTGGAATAATTGTCAAAACGGTAGAAAACGTTAATTCCCATCTCTAAAGTGCCAATTCCCACCTCAGCTGAAGTTGAGCAAAGGTGTGACTATTGGTGAAAAATAAAAATTTTTCGCACTATCAACTTCTATTTTCGCTTTTATTTTGCTTTATAAAGTCAAAATACCAAGTGTCAGAAATGATGATGATGAATTCAATGCGAATTTCTCCAAGAGTTCCTTTAAAGGGTAAGATTCGGTCATCGAAACCCATGGATCAAACCTTCTCATCCTACCCACAAATTATATAGCCATACGCCCTTATGTCTGGATGGTGTGAAGTAACAAGTTATAAATTAGCGAGTTCCTTTTTATTCCACGTACACACAGCTCAATATCTCTCCCAAACCCCCGCAATGCGCTGACACAAGCAACCATACCTTTGATGTTAATTCGGTACCTAGATGCCATGCAACTGCTTTGTTGATTGAGGAACTGGAATGGTCATTCCTGCACGGACCAACATTCGATAGCTTTCTGAGCCATCAGTCATTTCATAAGCAATTTCCTCACGTTTTGCTGTACTAACATTAAATAGTACAAAGTCAGTAGGGCTAAAACGGAGTACTATAAGACGAACAGAAGAGATAGCGTAAAGACTCAGGATTCATTCAGTCAAGGGATATTAGACATAGACCTCCACACTCTAAGTAGA